AATGATGTGATGAGAAGTGAAAACAAGAATTACACAACAATATGTAAGCTGCAATAAAACAACACAAAACACCACGACATTAATGGCCAATTTTAGGCAAATTTCTAAGGGCAGCGATTAAGGCTGTGCACGAATGATGACAAGCGTGGCAGAGTGGCCTGGACGTACTGCGGCAACCGAAACCAAAGCTTGTGATTTGTTTGCTCTTCACTATTTTGCCGCATGAGCACAGCAAATTTGATTTGGTTTGGAGGAAGCTGCCAGCCTTACTGTCTGAGGGATTTTTTTTTCTTTTGGTCTGTGCACGGCCTGAGGCACACACTGCTGTCCCACAGTCTTATTGTTAACTTCTGATGACCCGACAACTTAAAGCATTTTCATACAATTGCTATTGTGCACTTGGCCTCTATTTTGAAGCCAACCCCGTGTATACACACGAGGGAAATACAAAGATTATTTTTTTCAATGTCAGGATCATCGGTTTTGTGGTGAATCAACTAAAGTCTAGTAATTATTATCGCCGCCTCTGAGGTTGTGTTTTCATTGGCATCTGTTTGTTTGTCGACAGGATTACACAAAATCTACTCCATGGATTACCACAAAACCAGGTGGAAGGATGTGGTGTGGGTCAGGGAAGAAGCCGGATCTGCATCAGGTCGTTCTTTTACATTTTGGTAAATTTTTCAGTGAATAATTCATTGATCTTGATGAAAGAAATCAGACACATTAAGGGGACTGATATTGAGTTTGTTCCATTTGGTGCAGAATATGCTTTCATCTGCATTTATTTGTTAGTTCCCAGGATTACAAAACTGGAGAAGACTGTGGTATGGGTCAGGTATAAACCTTAAAGTTTGGTGCAGATCTGGATCAGGGCTCAGATCCAGGATTTGCTTTTGCCACCTTCTTTAACATTGCACAATTTTATTTTATTTTTTTTCGACATCTTCACATATTTCTTAGGGAATAATTCATGGATTTACAGTGACATTTAGGGAACTTGTATCAATGAATGTGTGTGATTTGGTGCAGCTTGACTGAATTGGACTGTCGGGCCTTGGCGGAGGAATGAGCTCTACTGAGTGACATTCTAGTTATACACTGTGACTAAGCACAACACAAAGCACCATGTATTTAACTCAGTCAGAAACCCACCAGTCATGAGATAAAACATTTTACAGCCACAAACAGCAGCACAGATCCAATTGACATTCATGTCTCTGCAGTAAGCTGCCTTCCCAGCATGCATGCTGAAGACACATGCAGTCACGCTGTATTGCGAATCCACCCATGGGTGTTCACAGAGAGAGACCAGGGCAACAACAGAACAATGGTATTGGTGTCAGAGCCAATATGTAGTACTATACATGCAGACTATATCAGATAAGGTTTTACCTTGCACTAGAATGGAAGCAGCAGTTTAAATAGCAACTATCAGTGTGCAGCAAGTGAATCCAAATAGACTGCTTTGTTATGACAATGGATAGAAACCAGTGTGTCGAGCAATTAGCTGACAGATTAGCAAAGCATGATGTTTGCACTCTGCCTGAACTAATACAAAGCTCCTTTCTCCGTCAGGTGTTCATGTGTTTAGTTGGGTTTCATGGCTCTGCAGTAATCTGTATGCTAACTCTGCTGGCATGCTGGAAAGAGAAGCAGGGAGGGAATGTTAATATTCTAAAATAAATTCACAACGCAGGTACGGGGAGTTGTTGCTATCTCACATCGAAAAAATTACTCCAGAAGAGGCACATGTGGCCTATTTTCTACCAACTGAACCATATCTTTGACACAGTCTTTCCCTCCTCTTGCCTTTATCTTTAGGCTGCATGCCTATACTATAGTACCTTAAATCACAGCCACTTATTATCTGACACACAGTTAAAGTTTATGGGGAAAAGGAATAGCACAGTTAAGACTGTTTAGATGAATCTTTGAGCAAGATTAAAGATGTGACGGGCCATCACCAAGTAAATTAACCCACCACTTTAATAATTAGTTCATGAAGTATCATATCATTTAATAATTTTATTATTTATCTTTATATGTTATACTATTATTTATCTTATTCTATTTTTGAATGTTGACTATATATATTTTATCATCTTGACTTTTCTATTATTGATTCCTGTTGATTGTTCTGTTATAACTGAAACAAACTGCTACCAGAACATCGAACACAGTTCCAAGGTCACCTTTTGTCCAAGAGGGGGCACAGGGGCAGAGAGGGTGTTCCTCTACAAGTGGTCGGTTGGAACAAGCCCAACCTGAGAAATGTTGGCAGATGCAGGTCAGCGCCTTATAGTCCCATCACCACCCCAAGACCAGACCTGGCACTCTCGTCCAACACCCAGCATGTCAGTGGACATGCCCTGTGTCAAACCGTGAAGAAACATGAGGGACTTTAGAGCACTGAAAGCCAATGACAATGGATCAGGAGCAAAGACCCCAACTAGACCCCAAGATATTAGGGACACACACCCAGGTCTGATGAGCCTGTGGTGGATCTGCCTTGGCAGAGGGTGTCTTGTGGTTAAACGGCCGAAACACACAAAGCTACACAACTGATGATACATCCTTTAACATCCACTGGTGGTTGGAAAGTTATCATCAAAGTACTGCGGAAGACTTTCAAACGTAAAAGGGACATAGTTTCTTATTCATGTTTATACTGCGATGTTTTGTCGATCACCTCTCAAGAGTTTGAACGGTGCTCTGTAGATGAAGTTTGATTGACTGATTGATTTAGGTTCACAGGGAGGGACAGGAGACAGACATTGTCGCCTACACCTGGAGGACTAAACAGGATAATATAGTATATTGCACTATATCGTACTCTGATGTTGCATCATCCTTCCTGGACAATCATATTTAGAACAACTCTGCACGGTCAGTGGACTTAGTCGGGGTGGGACAGCCAGGGTTCTGTGTCAGGACCAGACTTGAATGCCTCGTACATCTAGAGGCTCTGCAGAGACAAGAACTCAGTCTCCGACATAATTTGCTGCCGTTTGATGTGAAATGAATTGAGGAGCTTGATCACACAGTCGTTACCCCTCCTCGGCATCGCTTCTTTCAGCATGCACCCTTCCCTACTGTCGGGGCCCACTCTCCTTCACGGCAATTAGCAGATGCACCATATTGGCCTTGGCTTTTTTTATTTGATTTGATCTGTGACACATTGCACTGGGTTGCAGGATTTCAAAAGCACCAGAGGATTGTGTGGGACTGATGTTCAACGTTAGGAATTATTTGGGTCACCGTGTTATGCAAGTGGTTCCAGATAGTCGCTGTCATGCTGCTTCTTATCGGTGTGTTCGGAGAACTCACTTCAGAGCGAGACTTTACCAGACAGACAGAGTGTATTTCATATGAAATAACATGAAACTGTTGATCCATTTGAGTTATGGGAGCCACAATATGTTACAACAGAGTAGGCTTAAGGATACAGAATCGAACAGCAATGCCAAAATATAAAACAGGCAATAACAGAAATAGAAAGCAATAAGGCAATAAAAAGAAGACAAATATATTATGTACACTCTAAAGTGTGAGGGAGAAATGAACTAAAACTTCTGCAGAACAAACTATTGGATAAATATCAGTGCTGTGTTCACATTAAAATAATAATGTTCACTTTGAAGGATGATTCAAAAATTCTACAGATAATTGTTAACACATGAATATTTGTTCTGTTTTGTTTCCTCCCGCTCTCTGTGGTATAGTAGGTCAAATACTTATTTAAAAAATAATGTTGAGTATATTGAGTCTATAAAATGTTTATTTTGAAGGTCTACAGTTCCCAGGGCTGCAGTATTTGGGTGTAAATGCAGACGGCTTCTTTAACTGAAAGAATTGTTAGTGTAGTTAATGTCCATTCTTTTAGCATTTGATCAGTTATACTGCAGACATCTTTATCTGCAGCTAGAACCCCTGGTTGGGTGATTCAAATGTTTATCACCTAAATTATGTCCTATACAGCCATGGCCACTAACTTGTAGTATAAGATTTGAAAAGCAACAAAATTTCAATTTGCCCGCTGATTAGTATCTCTTTTCAAATGTTTTACCAATTTCTAGTAATGTAATGATGCTATATTATATTTTCTCAGTCGCAAGCAATACATAAGCAACCCTATTTCAGGGAATGATGTATGACTATGGGGGGCCACTGGTGGCTGTGGGGCCCTGAGCAGCCACTTGATTAGCTGATAGGAGAGACCGGCTCTGCCTCAGGCAAGAGGTTAAGGTTTCATGTGCGTTTCATAGTTGGCAGAATAACGCAAAAACTACCTGCAGAGGCCCGGGTTTGATCCCGACCTGCGTCCATTTATGCATGTCCTCCCCCACTCTCTCTCTCTCTCTGTCCCCCATTCACAGCTTACTCCCTGTCCTGTCCATTCAAGGCGATAAAACCCCCCCAAAAAAGATTATGAAAAACTACAGAGCTGGTTTCCATGGAATTTTGTGGAGGGGTGGGTCAAAGGGGACACAATGAATGTTGAAGGGGATTGGCAATAAACAAGCAGATCTTTAAGATGGCAGGTTGGCGATCCCGTTTTCACTCTGTATGCTCATCTAGTCTGTTTTTTTTGCATCAAGGACACTGTTGTATTTGACATTTTGCTGCTTCTTTTAGAATGCAATGTTTTTCATTCTTTAAGCACAATTCAATTTGCCTGTGTTGCATTGGGTTGACAGAAAAAGGTCTCAGAATATCAGCCAAACTATCAGTGGCCCCTAAAAAATCTTTACATTATGCATGGCCTTTTTATTACTTTATTCAGCTTGATGTTCCAAAATATTACAAGGGTTTGTTGTTTAAAGAAACCAAAATAGTCAGCTTTCTCAAATCAGTGGTTTAGGAGTGAAAACAGCTACAGTGCCATAAGAATGCATGGACGAACTGAGAGGGGGCTGGAAAAAACAAACACGTCAGCTGGTCCCCATTTATAAAATGTGAATGTTTATTAAATGTTGACGAGAACATTAAAACACATTATCAAGATTCAGCAAAAACAATCTATAGTACTTCACCAAAGATGAAAAGAAAAGGAAAACAGAGTTAGTTCTGCGCTGGGACGGAAATGGGAGGACTGAGGGCCGGGGAGGTGGGCCACGAGTGGAGGGTGTGGGGGGGAGGGGGCAAACAACGGGGCAATAAAGATGCTGGGGGTCTGCAGAGAGGCGAGGAGAAAATTTAGAGGGATGGAGTGAGCGGGAATTGGCAGCGGAGGCTAAGGCAATTAAGGAGGTACAGAGTAAGAAAGATAGAAGGTTTGGGGGGACCTCAGGGATCGATCAGGATGGTGCTGATGCACTGTAACGAGCGGGATAACTCGGAATCATTAGAGCCTCAGATTTCACTCTTTTATCATTTCTTCCGTCTGAGACTCAGCAAGCTGCAGAGGCCTTCCCTCCACGAGAACACAGAGAGGGGCATGGCAAATAAAACTCTACAGTTAAATTACAAGGAGCATTAACATGTACAATGATACAATGAGCACAACGTCGTGTTGAGGTGAAAGGATAAACACTTTGGGGGAGGGGGTTCTCTGGGGGGGGGGGGGCGCAGTTCAACACAGTACCAGAAGTTGGTGTATCCACTCTAATGGGTTCACAATCACAATAAGTAATAGTTCTTTATAATTTTCTCTCTGTTATCAACACAAATAGCAGGGGGAGGCAAGATGTACATAAGCATCACGTTACTTCAAAGTTCTGCAGAGAGACTCAGCCTCCCGCTCCCTCCTCTGGCTCATGCACAGGGGCATGTACAAACCGAAGCATGTGCATATATGTGTACACACAGAGACACTGTTGACGCACACGTGTGCACACACACACACACTTATGCTCTGTTCAGTGCAGAGACACACACACACACACACATTTGCATACGTTCCCACGCTCAGTCCGATTCCGTTTCCTTAAGAGGCTTCATACATTTTCCATCTCATCTTAAATCTTCTGACACGATGCCACCTCGACACTCTGTGCCATGACATCAGCAGGTGTCTGTCACATGTCTGTGCTTGGATGTCGAAGACTTTTGAGTCACACAGCCGAGGCGCTGCGGAGACAGCGACGGGAGATCGTTCTGAGCACCGGCGATGACAGAAAAAGTCACAGCTGTTCCAGTGTCTAGAGGTATTCGGCGCAACCCTGCTCATGTGCTACACATTTAATTCACCGTCAGCTGGGGTGACACCCTTCAGCACACAATTTCGAAAAACCCCGCTGTTTGCCACAGGACTCTCGGAAGCCAAGATGTCAGAGAGGTCGCAAAACATCCAGCGAGGCAGCTCTTTGTGCCAAGAGGTTCCAAATCCCCCACATATTGTGCCTCTGTAATATTTGTGCTGTAGATTTGAATGGGTATGTGCTTGAGGCGTATTCGCATCCCTCCATTTTCGCTCGTATTCAGAGCATCGCAGGTGCTGCTCCCACCTGTCGTTCAGCTGGAGGAAGGAAAAAAGTTCTGTAAATACATTTCTTTTCTTTATTTATTTACTCTTTTTTTCTTATAACCGGTGGATTTTGTTTAAGTCCATGTGCTTCAGTTCTCTTTGTGTTTTAGCATAGTAAGAAAACAGATTCACATGCTCTAAAAGTCATACACACTGTACAATAAAATCTACAGATATTTTTAAAGCTTTCAGTACATCCAAAAGAAAATCGATGAAGCTGCAAAAAAGTGGATTCACCGATTTAAAAAATAAATGAACGAGAGGGACGGAACATTTCTGGATTTCACTTTTCCGCCAAAGTGTGTTTTTTTTTCATAACATATTTTCTTTTACTGTCATTCTTTTTTTTTTTTGGTTTGCTTTAGGCAATTTTTGTTTTTGCAACACTAGAATTCCTACTCAACAGAAAGAAAAAATTGATTGAGAGCGACAGATCTTATTTTACAGCAACTTATTCTCTTTGCATGACGAGCCAAACTGTTCACACAAACAAATCCCATAATAATCCCCTGAAGGGGAGAAAAAAAAAAGAACCAGGACAAACAACAGATTTGGGAATGGGAGCTTCAACGCAAAGTACCATTATGTCAACATGTCTGACGTGGGGGCAAAAATGTGACGACTTTTTTAATTAAACATTCAACCTGTGGTCCCGAGGTCTTGTTCTTACTGCTGCCAGTCTTACATGTACATACATTAGAGGCTTTGTTATTTTATGTTAACTGGTTCATGGAGAGAGTGAAGGTATGCCAGCCGTGCTTCATGTTTTCATGTTTAGTCTAAACATTGTAGTCATTCGAGACGCTCCACTGAACCCCTGACAGCAAACCAATAGTTGGGAAAACTCTCTGTCTATCTCTTTCATACACACACGCAAAGTGCTGGGTTACCATCTGTGAGTGCTGCATCACTTGGCCAGTCCTCAGCTGGCAGGCAGATCAGACAGTGCCCAATATGCTCCCTAATGGCTCAAGTCAGATGAACAATATCCTCATTCCTCTTTTTCATCCGCATCTTCCACTTCCACCCTCCCCTTTGATTCACCCGGCCCTCCTTCTCTTCGACTAATTTAACCATCTTTAAATTGTGTCCTCGTTCTCTCTGCCTCTCATTATCCGAGACCCGGCTATTCCTCTTCGCCACCGCCACGCTGCTGGATAGATGTGACATGTCGCACTCTGCACTGTCCCCTCCTCGCTGCTGAAACACCACACTTCCTTCTCCTTCCCTTCTCGTCTTCCTGTTTTTTTTTTTTTTATGTCATATTTGGAGGCAGCCCTCTTCACTCACAGATTGCAACGGGCAGCGAGACTGAACGACAGTCTAAGTGCCATGTCAGCACAGATGGGAGGTCAGAGTTACATGCCAGGAGGAATCACTGGTGTGTGATTCTGTGGGGGATGTTTGGACCACCATGTCAAACTGAGTAAAGCTTGGGCAGTGGACTGTGGGGCGCTCAGGGCTCTGGTCTAACATTTTTGTGAACGGAACGATCTAAAAATGAGAGCGTCACAAATACATTATTTTCTTTTAAAGAAAGGGAGCAGGGGGAAGGATTGAGGCAGCCAGCATGACTTGTATAGCTGAGTGATGGAGGAAGAAGAGCAGGAGGGTTGAGAGACATCAGGAGCAAAAAACAGCAACTAAACTTAAGGGGTATGTTTTAGTGAAGAAACAATATCAAGACAAATATTCTGCCTGTAGCTGTCTGGTTTGTAATGTTTTCAAAAATGTATTCTTTTTCCTCTTTCTTCTCTTTTGTCAGTTTCATTTATTTTCAGCGTCGCGGGTGGGCCGTATCTTCATCTCAGAGAATTTGAGTGAGTACTGCCAGCCCGTCCAGGAGGACCATTCGATGCCGTCTGCGTAGGACGTGTGCTGGCCGCGCAGGTACTGGCCGTTAAGGTTGGAGGTGTGGCAGTTGCGGTACCACCAGGCACCGTGGTAGAAGGAGGCGCAGTTGTTCTCCGAGTGGTCGTTGTCCCTGTCTTTGGTGGTGAACTTCATCCCGTTGTGCTTCAGTAGAGAGTCACCTAGGGCGGGAACAAAGATGCACAACTAAATTTTAATATGTAAAAAGAAGGATATTAAAGTTTTTATCAGCTATTAAGACCAAAGGCGCTGGATAGAAACTTACTCAAGCACCTATGCTTAGTCCTAAACCATATTTAATCTAAAGGGTATTGAAAGGCTTATGTTGCACCTAGTCTTATAGTTATATACACGGTTATCTTGCGCCTGGTGTAAATGGGTGGAAGACTGCATTAGAAGATTGAAACGAGATGTCATGAAAAAAATCTGCTGAGGGATTTGACTTTTTAAGCATCTTTGCATCCTCTCACTTACCAATACACACTCTTGGATACCAGGAACCAGTAATTAAACATATCCACAAATTGATTAAGGTCACAATGGCATAGGACTTTTCAATTTATCATTCCCATAAAGAGAGGGCGGAGGACGGAAGAAATAAAATAAAACTCTGCAGTTCTGCGGAGTATCGAGTCTCATTATCTAAAGCAGGAGGTCAGAAAGCCATGTAGCCAATTTATCAAAGGTTCTGCTGTGACCTTTTTATCTTCCGCTTTTTGATAATTCGCACCCCCACATCCCCATCCATGACTTCTTCAGAATGTGTGTCCGTCAGTGAGCGGACAGAAATCTAATAAGAGGACAGAAAACAAATATATAATCACGTGTGTCGACTTCATTCTTGCATCATTTTACATATTTTCAGAAACAAATTATGCATACAAGCCAATGAGGGGGGCCGTCGTTCCTGCAACCTGTAATTGTGATTATGACAGTGATGTAAGACCACTGCAGGAATGCGGCTTACACGCAAGTTGCATCCCCTAAAGTGTCTTTAATCACGGTCTGCATGGCGAGACTGATCTGCACAATCAAATAGCCAAGCCAAAAAGATCACTTAATAAGGATTTGTCGCCGGCAAGTTCTCTACGTCGATAAGTGATTTACAAGCCGGGGCTCCGAGATGCTCACAGGTACAATGAAAGCTGCGGTGGACAGACACTGCGGTAAAGTTTTCAGCAAATGGATGTTGAGAGGGCTCATAATGTTCAATAAACTCCCCATACCTCCCCTCCGCTCTCCGTACTCTCCTTTAAAGTCGGCCTCACACTGTGACCAGAAGTGGATAGAAGGATAAAGCTGAGAGCAGAATGAGAGACGGCTCACCAGCTATCAGGTGCTGGCTAACAGCTTGTCAGGGCATCAAACAACCCTTAATTGCCCAGGATGTGGCCGGCCAGCGCCTTACCCTCTCTCTCTGTCCTACTCTGCTCTCCATTTGGCATTACCATGGCAACCAAACAGCAGGAAAGAATAATCTGACAGACGTGTCTGATATTCATGTTGTGTGCTGCTCGACATTAGAAGAGAAAAGAGATAGTGGGCGAAGAAAGGAGAAGAGGAAGAAAATGGAACGGCTCAAGGATTTAGAAAAGAGGAAACAATAAAAAGGGAAACACTTAAAGGCTCATTTGCAAGGCTCCGGATGTCAACATAGTGGCCGGGGGCTGGCAGCCTCCTCTGATGCCCATTAAGATCCAGCTGATCCCAGCCCAAATGAGCACCTGTCAGCTGATCGGAGAACGGCCACAGCAGAGTTCTACTAATAATAATAATACCGGGATCCGAGGGAGCTGAGGTGAGCATCCTGAGAGAGTTTGAGTAATTTGATTGCATCAAACGCAACAAGCGGATGAGTTCAAGGTCTGGCCAAAGACAAGGCTGGGAAGACTTTTTAGCAGAAACCGAGGCAAAAAAAAAAAAGCTGAAAACACACGCAACACATTTTCTCTTCCCCCTCTGGTTTCCGTTATTCCTTTTGTCTGCCTCCTCTCCTCTCACACCTGTCCCCTTCATTCCTCCATCCTAGCTACTTCCAGCTCTCCCTCCTTCCTCACCTTTACCATCGCCGCTCCATATCTCATATCTGTCCCCATTCTCTCTCACATCAGAGCTCCCCAAAGATCCTCTAAATTGCTTCTTCATTTACAACCGCATGTTTTTTTGTTTACGCTGCAGGTCAAGCAGTGAAATTAATTGGCTGTAATTGAATCAAGGTGACAGGGAGCTGGAGTGGATCCGATGGTTTTGGGGGGCAGAGACGCAGACGCTAGTGGTCCCTCTGTCTCCGCGCTTTAACAAGTGAACACAGCTAGTGCACTGTAAAAATAACATTCTATCATTTTAGTGGGTGGCAGCATGTTGTGACTTGGGTGTTCACAATTGGGTTAAATGAAAAAAAGCAGACTAATAAGAGCAAAAATCAGCAAAAAATAAAAATCCTTGCAAGCAAAGCTGAACTAGTTCACTGAGTGTGCCCATACCGGCATTTCCAGAATAGTCTCCCACAGTCAATGGGTATCCGTCATCATCAGGGTCCACCGAGAAGAGGCCCACTCCAAAGGTGGCGTACTGGGCGTATGCGGTGCTATTTTCAAAGTCCTCCAAGTCGATACGCAGCTCATAGTTGCCCTGGATGGACAGGGCATGGATCTGCTTCAGGCCTGCAGGGAAAAACAAGACACAGACTAAAAACAATCCTTCGCAAAGTACTACAATTGTTCTCGGCAAACAATGTAAAGCTATTTCAGAAGCCTCTCAGCACCGCACATTTTCTGGAAATAAGGCGTAATATGGTTTTTGTTCCATTTAGAGTCTCTCCTTGCGTGTGTAGGGTTTCTTGCCAAAACAAGATTAGAGTTTTGAAAAATGTGCCGAGTGTCTACAGTTCACACTGGACTTTGCAATGAAGATGGAGAGACCAGTTGAATGCTCTAAATATGTGAAATGAATAATGACATTAAAAAAAAAAGTTTCTTTCACACAGACACATAGTTGGAACCAGGAATCTACAGTTTGCTGTATAAATGTTTTTTATTAATCTCCCACTTCTATTAAAGTCCTGGGCCTAGTCTGTACAGGCAGATAAAACTGGATGACGCTTCTCCAGTCCACCCATTATCCAGAGATGAAGGCAGCCATCTTCCTCATTTAGAGGAACGAGTCTGCACAGTAGCGATCGGGGGATGCAGCCTTGGTAGCATGCCTGTTATATCTCATAACTTGCAAAAACTTAAAAATTGTGTGATAACAGTGTGATAACAACTACCTAAAATGACAGAAACCATCTTTAAGAACATTTTTGTTTGAGATATTTAACTTTTTCATTTGCTCCATGTCCCATCCAACATGGAGGAGGGGAGATCCCATACTGCATCCTGCCACTAAGTGTCGCTGAAGATTCTGTGGCTTCACTTGTCGTCTATCTTTATATACAGTCCTGGATCTTGTTCATACTAAATAAGAATATGTAGCCTACTTATTGCATTCTGTTTAAACAAACAGAATAACAAAATTAAATGATGATTTAAGATTGTTGATGTTTGGTGCTTTCAGATTTCTATGTCAAGGTTAAGAGGAGATGCCACAAAACTGAAGCTGCATGAGATGCCAGTAAAATTATTCATAAAAAATATGTTTTATTGTGAAGTTAAAATCAATCAAAATGATTAATTCTAAAGAGAAAAACAAATATAAAGGTTGAATGGATTCATGGACTAGCAGGGCTTCACAGATTCACCCAGAGGAGAAGCTACTTATTCTCATGTCTGGATTTTTCCCCTTGGTGCCCGTGAACATTGAAGACTGTGACCTGACTGGATATCAAAGTTACCGTTTTTAATATTGTAGAGAGAATTTTAAAATTTAACAGCTGGGTCAACAACATCCGTGGCCTCCTGATAATGACCATAAGCAGAACTTCACTCAGTCACGTTTTTCTGGAGTAATGTGAGAGTTTTCATTTTCCTTCAGGTCAGTTTATGAGAGAGAGAGAGAAAAAACTGCAGTGTTTTCATAAACCAGTGAGGTCAAGACTCAGAAGGCTGATATAATGCACTGTATTAAAAGGGAGGCTAATGGGGTTGGAGTCATCATTACTACAATTTCTCTAAGGCAGGAGTGGATGCAATAATTGTGGGAATTAATTTTATGGTTTTGCAGGTAAAACTTATTTGTTGTATATAAAATATGTGTTCAGTCACACATCTGAAAATCCATATTGACCTCTGATTTTATGCTCCTTGCACATCATGTCTCAGCTCATTAATAGCCACAGTTAGAAAAGTAGAAGAATTACCTCTGACACATTCTTTTTGTTTAAGGAAAAGAGTCTCTTTTCTTTTTCAAATCCCTGATTGTGTGTTTCTGATTGGGGTAATCACTTCTGGAGCCCATTTTGTAAATGATACACTTTTTTCCCTCTATCTTTATTCAAGAGTGTGGTCTTTAGTTTGAGAGGAAGGCATTCTGATTTCACATCAGGAGTTTGTAATGCTTTCACTCAAAACCCTGCACTCGCACTCAAATAGCCCTTCTTTTTACTTAGATTTCCTGCGCTCCAGCTCCTCAAGGAGCCTATAAATAAAATGTATCATTATATCATCATTATTGTCAGTTTAATGCCTTGAAAAATTAAGGATCTTGAGTCTTGATGCAGTTAAAAGGCCCAAATATCAATGATTTATTTGTTTTTACATTTTGGGAACACTGTTGCGAACAACTATAAAAACTAAATCAATAAGCCATGCTCTCAAACTGAAAGACCATGCACTTGAATAAAGAGAAACAAATACCCTGTAGACACTCGCACAGTTTCCATCCACCTGTCTCAACTCTGAAAGATTCGAGCTTGCCGTCGCAATGCCCCCGAACCGATCCTCTAATTGTTCCTCAAACCTTTAGAGTGAGCATACGAGACAGAAAGCACCAGAGGGAAAGGGGCTTCCATCCCATCTTCCTTGCCTCCTCCTGCTCTGTGTTTGCCCCTGCTGTGTTCGGAGTGATGGCTCTTCCCAGGGCAACTTTTCCTCTACTGGCTTGATCAAAGCTACAAAGAGGAATAAGCGTGTCAGGCAGAGAGGAGCAGGGGAGGAACTCCTCAACCTAGCCCTGCCTTAAAACACAAAAAACCAACGCAGGAAGACAAACAAAAGTAAAACTTCGCTTCAAGACTCTGTTACCAGTCTTTCTCCCGTGCTTACAAGTGCACTCTATGTGTCTGCAGCGTTTGTTTGGGAGACAAAAAAAGCTACGGCATTTGAAAGCGCCTATTGATGGAGAAGCTTCAAAGGCTTCCTGGTTAAAAACCAGACTGGGTTTCTTCGATGCATGTAGAGGGACCTGCAGGCTGCAGTCGCTGGCTGAAGGGTTTGTTTCACTCTCCTTTAATGTGACTCAGAATCAAGCATGAAAGCGTCTGCACCATAAGAAGGCAGGTGTTTTTATGGACCTGTACTCTCAGTCAGTTTACCACCAACCACAATCATCAGCAAATGAACGTGTTTAAAGCACGCAAACCTTTAACTTCTTAATGTGAATTCTGTCGCCGTCGAGAGCGGGCGGCACTGGGAGAGCACATTGTCTGAAGTTAAGGGCTAATTTGACGTAAAGCACAGCTGAAAGAAACCATTACTGTTCGGCCGAGCCTGGGCACTTAGTTTGGGCTTAATCTCGCCCGATGGGAGGTCGATCAGTTATTTTCAAGAAGAGTCTCAGGTAAGTTCAGTCATGAATAGGCAGGTAACTCCGGCCAGTGTGCAGCTAATTCCGACACACGAACAGAAATACTCCTGTGCATCTCATTTTCATGTGCATTCAGAGAAACAGGCGCGTCAGTCGCAGAAATAGTTGCGGTGTCATAGGCCTTTGAGAGAAAGTATCAATCCACACAAACACCTCAGGGAAAAGTGCCCTGGAGTGATTTGACAAACTTCAAACGACAGACTTGTTTTCTCTTTCAGGAGAAAAAAAAAAAAAAACAGATGCAACACAACTCTATTTAAAGAGTCTGTGGCTTCAAACTGTATTTACATAACTTTAATTCACTCCCTAATTAAAGCCCAGGAGAATCTCAGTGAGACTCTAACTCCGAATAATTAAAGAGGAAGATAAGTAAAATAACAACAGAGACTACTCGGGTAAAAATCAAAATGCTCAGGTGTAACTCTCTGTTAATTTAATGCTATTGTTAGGTTATTTATAATGGGAGCCCTAATACAAGGAAATTTTGAGGTGTTTTGCTGCAGTATTAACATGCTGATTTCTCCGCTGGGGAAAGACTCTTCCCTCTTCTCGCTGATTTGCCGTTAAATAGGAGCTTAGCAGAAAGCCACAAAAAAAATGTCTCTCCTCCTACATACTTCAGATGTGCAATTAGGGTGCACTTTCTTCACTTCACACTTCAATCTGACTATAAGTTCATTTCAAAGGCCATTTTTTAATAACAACTTGTTTGTTTCGTATTCAAATCTCTAGCAGGTCATTATTATCGTGTTATATTCATGTATATTTTCATACTTTCACCAGATGCTTTTTCCACCTGCCATACAAACGCAATAAATATTGGTTCATGCATGTTGTAAATGTACCTATTTGTGCCTTTAGTGAGAAAAATATTTATTGGAGGCACTTGAGCAAAAGCTGCGCCCTCTACCAAATCCCCCTGGCCTCTAGGTGGTGATTCATTGTTTTGGGTGACATGTCCGAGCAATCGGTTTTTATGTACAGAAAATACACAGTCTATTTATCTCATGACCTGAGGTGGATATTACCCATGATCCCTGGCTTTCTGAACCAGAGGTGCTGCAATCTGTAACAAATATACCAAACTCCTTTTAGATTTCTTCATATTTAAAAAGATTCCTTTTCTGACTTCTAAAACATTTTGAACTGATCGACAGTTGAACTTGCTGGGCTTCAGTTTTACATTTCTCAGATCCAAAGATACATAGGGCAAGACGTTCGGAGTGAGGAGTGGATAAAAAAAGAGTGGCGCCATTTTCCTTATTCTAAGGCAGTGAAACATCACACAACACATTTTGAAGCTGTTATTTTCAGGTAAAGAAGTTGCTTTTAAAATATGTATTGCCATTATACTCCTGCAGATAACAAACTTGCAATGGCAGTCCCTGAGATTTAGAAAATGGCTTGAAAATGTTAGAAAAAGAATTAAGGAGCAGCTATAGAAATATCCATCCATCCATTATCTATGCTGCGTATACAAACTGTGATTTGTGAATATGGGCGATACAAACAAAAATTTAAAAACAGATTGATTGACCTGGTTCAACAGTAACCATCTGTAACATTGGTCAGTGTCGTACCTGCCATTCTCTTGGTTGGGAAATATAAACAGGTTAATTCAACACGCATCCAAGAATGAGAGCAGAAATATGAGAAGTGTTTGCGAGTGCACAGAATCAGCCGATGTGCACGAGGGAGTCAAACTGAAGCACGGGACATTTGTGCTGCAACAGTATATCTGAGTGCAGTAAAAACAGGTTAGAGCAGAGGCAAAGCAAATTTGCACGCAAGCTGGGCATATTTGAGAGAGAGGGCAGGGTCTGGAGGGACAGGGCTGCAGACATCTGAATGTGAAATGAGGAAATAATGCTCTCAAAATGAAAACCTTGAATAAAGATAGGAAAAGAAACTAAATGTGCCG